CCAATTGCCTTTGCCCTAGTCGAGGGGGAGACCGGTGGTGCTTGGAGCTTTTTTCTGAAAAACCTGCGAACACATATGGCTCCTCAACCAGATTTCTGTTTGATCTCGGATAGACATGCATCCATTTAAAGTGCATATAATAATCCTGCAAACGGTTGGCATGACCCTCCTTCTACGCATGTCTATTGCTTTAGACATATCGTCCAAAATTTCACGAGGGAGATCAAGGATAAAACACTAAGTAAAGCAGTTATGAATGCAGGATATGCATTGACACAACCCACATTCAAATATTACCGCAACGAGATCCGTTTGTCAAATTCGGATGCCAGTAGGTGGATCGACAATATTCCAGTCGAAAAATGGACTAGGTCATACGACAATGACCAAAGATGGGGGCACATGACAACAAATCTAATTGAATCGATGAATGGGGTATTCAAAGGCATACGAAACCTCCCGGTCACTGCTTTGGTAAAATCTACGTATTTTAGGACCGCTTCGTTGTTTTCCAAAAGAGGTGAAATATGGAATGCGGTGTTGCAATCTAGAAAACTATGGAGTGAAAGCTGCATGAAGTACATTAAGGCAGAAAGTGCCAAAGCCAACACCCATATGGTTATACGGTTTGACCGACACAACCACAACTTCATTGTAAAAGAGACAATCGACCACAACGAGGGCCTGTCAAGACAAGAATATAGGGTTGTACTACCTTCTCGTTGGTGCGATTGTGGCAAGTTTCAAGCCTTTCGTATTCCTTGCTCTCATGTCATTGCCGCGTGTGCTTATACCCATCAAGACGCGCTACAACTTCTGTCACACATTTACAAATCTGAAACGTTGCTCAACGTTTACAACAACAGCTTCCCTTTGGTAGCAAAACCAGATTATTGGCCTGCATATGACGGTGAAATAGTATGGCACAATGACCAAATGCGAAGGAACAAAAAGGGTCGTCCCAAAAGTAAGCACATCACAACCAAAATGGACTCCCTTGACAAGCTGGAAAGAAAGTGTGGTTTATGCCGTCAGGTCGGACACAATCGCAAAAATTGTCCGAATCAGGCATCTGCCTCGACCACATAAAAATTGTATTACATAAAATCTTTCCTTAATTATGTTGTAAACATTAGGATTTTTCGTTAACAGTATTTGCTACAATAAACATTTCGCGTACAAGAAAAAAAATACGATATTTCGTCTACGAAATTACAACTGTTAAAACAATATCATCTGACTCATTCATCATTAACATTACGTCACTGTCTGTTTTGACTTCCTCCAACCAAACATTAGGTCTTCCTGTCGCATGTGAGGTTGATGTTCGTCTTCGCTGGATCCTTCGAATTCCCCCCCCCCCCCTCCACGATGTCTCCATGTAGCCATCGCAACAACTCCCGCTTCAGACGCTCCATGGAGTGAATGTGCCAGAATTTCATTTTCATCGCAGGTTTTGTGACGGAGAAGATAACGTAACCATCTCTGGTAAAAATCATGGGCGATGTCTTGACGCAAATAACAGAGTAAAAAATAAGAAAACAGTGCGAGAAAGTGTGAGAAATGACGGAGAAACAGACGATTTATTTATAAAAACAACATTTTGTCCTAGGAGCCAAGTGAGATGGCGCCTCCTCTCACTTTTAAAGTGCATGCGCCATCTCACTTGGTTAAAAGAGAGAGGAGGCGCCAAGTGAGATGGCGCCTAGGGCAAAAAGCTTGGTGGAGGCGCCAAAAGTGAAAAATAATAAAAGTGAAATAGTGAGAAACTTAAAAAACTGAAAAATAAGACAAAAAAAAACAATAATAATGGAAAAGACGTCATGCATATGTAACTGCTTACTTCACTTCGCTACCAACTAGGACATTTCACTTATTTGAAATAAAAATGGTGTTCATAAACTACGAAGAGTGCAGAAAATTTAAGATATGACACCAAGAATATGCTTGCTCCGGAAGTGGACCTGCAGTCATCTGGGTCACTTCTCCAATCTCAATCATTTTAGGCTTTTAAGGAAAATTTACGAGTTGAGGTAGATGGAGAAAATACTAAACTATGAGAAACAGAACCACTAGGATATTAAAGGATTTTGCGAACTGCTGTCCAGTAAGTATCCAGTGGCGCTGACATAAACTAGCACGCCTTGTTGACACTATAAGCAATATCAAGTCTCGTCAAAGTGACATATTATAAAGCACCTACGATTAATCGATATAGATTGATCGGTATAGATGAGGATCTGAGAAAGTTTAAGAGACATTCCTACTACTAAATTTGCATGTCCTAAGCATAGGAGTTGACACACCATTTGCATTATTAATTTTTGCTCTTTTAAGTAAATCTCTTATGTATTTAGCTTGAGTCAACAACAAAGATCCATTATATTGGTAAATAAATTCTATGCCTAGAAAATATTCTGATTTTCCAAACCTCTTTAAAGCAAAAGCTTTGTAAAATTTGGTAATCAAATTATGTACTAATGGTGAAGATGAGCCAGTTAAAAAGATCTCATCAATATAAACAATGACATAGATAATGATATCTTGTTTGGATTATATAAAGATAGAGTGATCACATTTTGAGGGAGTGAAGCCAAATAGCAGAAGTGCTTGAATGAGCTTATCATACTAACAGCATCCGCATGCTATCTGTCTTATTTTTCAAAGACATGCAAATGCTTTGCTTTTTTCTTTTTAACGTGTCACGTTAACATGTGTCCTAATATACATATTAAAGATATTATAATTAAAAAAATTTAAATATAATTAATTATAATAAAGTCATATTTAAAATTTTAAAACATTAAATTCATACATTTTAAAAAAATATTTTTATAAATAATTTATTAATTTGTACCCTTAAACACCTATTATCTTTTTCTTTTTTTTTAATGATAACATTACTCAAGAAAATACACACGCCAAGCTTATTAAAAAATGTTTAATTTTGTTATCTTGGAATCCGCAACTTAATTATCACTACCTACATTTGTATACATCTTTCTCTCCCTCCACACCTGGAACATAGTTCATGAGTGTGTCGTATAGAAACACACTAATTGCTTAAAAGAGAACAAGACCTAAACATTGACTTCACAACAAGTTATGAATTATATATAAAATCTGCAAACTCTTCTCTTGTGTATATATTGAACTCAGAGCTAGGTTTCTCTATATCAATCTCTAAAACCTCCATTGTTTCTTGTGAGTATCAGCTTCTTACACCACTTGCTCTTATGATCGTTCGTCTTCTGTTAATGCAATTCAGTGCCTCATTTAATTTTAATGACTCTTCTCTAACTATTGTTAGCAAATAGCAAGGTTAGTTATTTGTGTTTTGTTACCATTAGTTTTTATAAGATTTGGAATATACATAACGTAAGGTGTAAAGCAAATGACTTAAACTGACAACATTTGTCAGAAACATATATGCATTTTCTTGTTAGTTATTTGCATTTTTATTTATGTATTACCTTTACATATGTTTTCTTGCAATGTTCTTTGACACAAATATTAAAAAATATTTTTTAAATATTTATCAAGCTTTGAAGTTACGTATTGTGATCCCCATCTATGATGGCTATATAATAATTTTGTTACATAATTTTTTGCCATTTGGAATAAAGACTAGCTACACATATAGGTGATCATTTACTTGCCTTCTAAATCCCACACACATAAAAAACATATGCCATATAAAGATTGCGAGACTTTGCAGCAAAGAATATATATATATATATATATATATATATATATATATATATATATATATATATATATATATATATATTATTTTGGATATTGTTAAACATCTCTTATATAAGAGATTTAGTAGAAGAATAAAAATCTCTAATATAAAATCTCTAATTGCAAAACTTAATCCTTAATTATCTCTGTCTTAACAAGCTTGATATCCTTAATGGACCATCTAGAATCATTATATATTTATTTATAGTCTGTTTCCAAGAAAGATATCTATCATATATAAATACATTTTTGTTTAATTAGGATTATTGGGTAAGTGTTATTTTTCTCATTTAATTTTTTAGTGAAATTAAGCAATTATGACATTCATTATAAGACTCGATTAACTTTTATTCTCAAAGATACCATTCACATAGGCACAATAACAAAAATGTTTAATCATTAATCTATAAAGTATTAGTGTTGCAAATCCGTATTTTGATCTACTTATTAGAACTCTTTCGTATTGAATGACATCTAACGATTTTTCAGATACCACTTTAAAAACAAAATGATCTTTAATTGCAATTTTGCTTTTCATATATAAAGATTATTATGTAAGATCTTGAGTTACTTCCTCGTCTCAAATTAGAAGAGAAATTCACTTTTTTAAATTCATTGAATAATTAATGTATTTGGTCTATATACAGATCAGATATATTAATCTAAAAAGTAAATTTCTCTTATAATATAAGACATATGAAATATGTCCTAATCGCAATTTACTCATACGTTATTTTTCACCAAGTAACGGACAATCTTGCATTCAACCCACCTCTACTATATAAAAACTTGTTCCACCGCATCAAATTGGTTCTTTACACATTTTTTAGACCACCATAAAACAGGTACAAACCATATAAAAATGATTAAGTAAACAATTCAAAATCCTACTAAGATATTAAATTTAACAACCAAATCTATTACATAAAAAATGTAACATCCATATATGGATACATGTATCATATCATATATATCAACCAACCCGGTCAATTTATCCTGCATGGTAAGTTTTCCAAATCTTGAGGGAAATATGTTTTTTTTAATGATCTATGTGACCAATATATTCCATGACACTTCAATTGAATTCAAGAATCTATCTAGAGGTACTATATGGAGCAATAGAATCTCCACATTAAATGTTATATAGTTTTGTGCACATTAAATTTATAATGTACAAGAATTCAAAAATACTTGCATGCATGTTTTAATTTTATAGTTAGGAATTACTCTATAATTAGTATGAACCCATCAAACTATTTCCATAAATCAATAGGACAAGTTGAGTTTGATGTTGAGGCATTTTCATGAGGCACCATTTCTTGTTTCTCCAAATTTCTGAACTCTACATTGCCATGAAAGATGTTGTCATCACTTTCTTTTGTGGCATCTTGACTAAGTTGTGAGGCAACAAACTTGTCAAGAACTCTCCAATCGGTAACTTGATCATCGACATCAGAATTGTTTCCAAACATAGCATGGAAGTTTTGTTGTTGATTAGATTGCAAGACATGTTCTTCTTGTAGTAGCATTGGTGAAGGAAGCATGGAATTTGTAAGATCTATATTACCATACGTTGTCACCATTGGATTAGATTGAGGAAGCTTTGGACTCTCTAGAAGAGGGAGATTAAGAAAATGGTCTCGAGGAAGGTTTTGGTACTGTGAATTATCTAGCTCTTTTTTGCAAGGATATGGAAGTTGTTGGTAAATTAAATTTGGTCGAGAGGTTTGATTTGGTGAGTCCATGTCTTGCATGAAAGAAACTTGATCATCATACCAACAAGGAGAGTCATGTTCATTCATTTTGCGATGTGTTGTTGTTATTCTCTTCTTGAATACTCTACATACAACCCATCCTTCTTCCTGCTCAAAACCATCATAAACAACAATTAATGTTAGTTTAAAAAGTGTATGGATTGAAATGCTAAAATAGCATTAAGAAGAAAGTTCAAGGTTCAATTCTAGGAGATAAAGGGTCGTCCTTAAGAGTGTATAGAAAAGACTATCGTATAAAGTTCAAAATTTATTATACTTAAACTATAAATAAATATGACATAATAAAATATAATAAAATATTGTCACTTTTAATCACATTTAATTATGACTTTTATTTATTTTGTCATTGTTAATATGTGATAAATCTTCACATAACTTTCAAAAAAAATTGAGACGCCTCAGGGTGATAAAACGTGTCGTTCGTTCTGTCTGACTTAAAATTGTCAAAAAAATAGTAGGATGGACAAACTCGCCAAATGGCAGATTGGCGGGTGGGTGACCTGGCCGCCTATTATTCATTTATTTATTTTTAATTTTTCAGTGGATTAATAGTTTTTTTTTTTTACTTTTCAATTAAATTTTTCACTTAATTTTTATTTATAAAATATCTTTTTAACAAATGTTCTTTAAAATAATATCGCATATATTCATAATTAATATATAAAATAAAATTATCAAAAATTTAAATTATTAGAATTAAGTAAAAAATGATCGGATTTAAAGTGAAATGGGTTAAACTAATAGGTAGGACAGACTTTAGCGGGACAAACTTTGATAAACAACGGACTTTAATAGAGTAGGCTTTAGCGAATAGCAGAGTCAAAATCTCAATTCAACCCGTTATATTTTAACGAGTATGAATCACGGCCCGTTTTATCATCTCTTATAAAAGACATCCCCCTCGATCTTAATAAACTAACCTATGGCATTAATGCTTCCCAATAATTTCATCATAGATGACTTTGTGACTAACTAATTACAAAATAGATTAATGCCTATATGACTTTTTGACCTTTAGTTTTCATATGTCAATATTCAAACTTGAAGATAAAAAAAGACATTGTATAATTTAAGGAATGGTTCTATGATGAGAAAAAATTATTTCATTTGAGAAGTGAAAAGTTTGAGTTGTGTGTTTGATAGAAAAACTACTTCATTTGAGATGTGGTATACCATTTTTAATTGGTTTGCATGGGAGTTATCTATGCCTCATAATTTATTGATTTTTTTTCTTAGTTTTAAACACTTTTGGCATTTGTCATTATGGATTTGGCTGATTTAGAAATTGGTAAATAAAGTTTTTTGTTCGATAAGATTATTAATATTGACCTTTTAGTTCATTATATTAAGTTTTTTTATCAGGTGATTTTTTATTATGCACTCAGGATTTTCCTATACTTTCTATGCGGAATGGTGGAACAATCCTTTGTAAGCTGAGATGATTTTTATTAACTGATTATTGGGATTTGATTTTGGCCTTAAATTGTTGATGTTGATTGTTCTATTCATTGTATCTTAATTTTAACTTAGTAATTTGTGGAGTACTCCTAATATTTTGTTTTATCAATGTATATCATTTGTCATTAAATAAGAAAAGATTTTTTTAATATAATAAAAAGTTTAATTAAAGATAAATAAACCTAGATTAATTGATAAATTTGACTTATTAATTGATTTTGAATTAAAGCAACACAAAATAAACCTAGAGAAAGATTAATTAAAGATTAATTTGACTTACATGTGGTGCACCATTTTCATCTGACTCAAGCCTATACTCATGCATTATCCAATCTGACTTTTGTCCATTTGGAGCTCTACCTTTATAAAACACCAATGTTTTCCTCATCCCTATCAAATCATGCTTACTATAAATTGCCTTGTCTCTTCCAGTTGCTTTCCAAAATCCAGCTGCAGTTGCCCTATTTGTTCTTGTCCCTGTTGGATACTTCTTATCTTTATGGCTAAAAAAGTACCATTCATTTTGTTCTTCTGCTCCTATCCTACAAAGCTCTTTAAAATTCAACACAAATGTTAACAATATATATATATATATCACAAATTAAAGTATATATTTTAACCAGAAAATAGAGAAAAAAATAAATAAATTATACCTACAAGATCCCATGGTTCAATTTTGTAAAGGTCAACATCTTTTATGACATCAAGATCAATCCTTCTAGAAGCTATTTTTTTTCTTAGGTAGTAATCAACAAGTTCCTCATCTGTGGGATGGAACCTAAAACCTGGGGGAACGTGAGAGAAAGTTTCCATATGTATATATATCTCTTTTTTTATAGTCCTGAAAACATAAATATGTGTATTATATTAGAAAATTAAGTGTATGAAAATTTCAAAACATAAAATAACTTGTTTTCAACAATAATTAGAGAATTCGAATATTGCTAGATATAATTGATTCTCTCCTCTTTATTAATATATTATTTTGCTATTAAAAAAAATGAAACAATGAATAATTGATAGATAGAATTGATTCCAATATTGTTAATTTCATGATAAATAACATATACATGGAGAAAAAGCATGAGTATGATGATTATTCATGTGGAAATGTTTACATAGTCAACACACATGTGATAAAACATTCACAATACTTACTAGTGTAGTAGATCAACATTCAAGTGATTACCACTCATTGTGATCCCCACTAATTTATCACCCATGCTTCTTCTAAAAGGATAAAAAAGTTCATGCATGAACCTTATATTCTTTCTAACATTATACATAAGAAAAACAACATATATTTGAGTTTAAAGAGAGGTGAAAGATTGCAAAATGAATAATTATTTTATATAATTAAAATTATTAAAAAAGGAAGAAGAAAAAAGATTGAGATTTAAGAGAACTCACGGATCAAGTCACACAGCTAGCAAATATGGTGGTGAAGTCACAGATCTTCCTCCAAAAATAATTTGATGCATAAACTGAGATGAGAGTTGTGTATATGTCTCTCAACTTCACTCTTAAATCAGACAAAAAATTTCAAAGACAAAGAAAAAGTACTAAATATATTAAAAAGTTCAAACAATAACCAACCAACATATATAACTGTATTAAGTCCTTGGGAATTGAACCCTTTCAACTTCTTTTGTCTTCTTCTTGTCGGATCAGATCCCAAGAAAAAACACAAACAATATTGAAGAGAGGAACAAGAAGAAAAAGGAAAAGCAAATAGGGTTAATTATATAAGTCGACAAAAACAAAACCCTAATGATACTTGTCTTTGTTTTCTCGCAAAACCAATCTGGACTAGGTTGAGCTGAATTAGAAGAAAAGATTTATATGAGAACAAATGGAAGAGAAGTAATGGTTAATTCTCTCTAAATGGTTACCTCTACCAGCATTGATAGAGACTGAAAGGAATGATAACAAAGTGAAGAATAAAATGCAAGGTTTTTTTTTTTCTCTAGAAGGGTCTAGTTTTATATATTTGAAAACGTCTCATAAAAGTGCTATAAAGAGAGAAGGAAAGAACTAAGGGTTTAGACCAATCACCAATCATAAAAAATATATAAAATATATGATTAATCAATCTTTTACGGTTTTATATCCAATGAAATATAACTCGAATATATATTTATAAGAGAAAACAATCGTCACTTTATAAATTATTTTATAAAAATTGAATTAGACTCGACTTAAATTATAAGATGATATTAAATTCTGTCTATGACGGATTATTAAAAATCAATTCATAATTATCTAAAAGTGAAATAATTATGGACGTGTTTGAGTTCTCCTTAAAATCACTAATATCAAATTAAATTTTAGACTGATTTTTTTAAAACCTACAAGAACCACATTCATATATTTTAATATTTATTTATTTTTATTAGTATAATATTATGTTAATTTATTATTTGTTAATATTTAATTTGGTTTATCTATTAATTTTTAATATTTCATTTGTTTCAAATATTATCGATTGTTTTTATTTTATAATTTTATTTTTTAATATATTATAGATTGTATATTTCTTCAAATGCATTATTTTATGAAAAAAAATGTATTATTTGTGTAAAATAGTTTTACATTTTTATTCAATAAGATTTTATTATTCAGTCATGTCATGTCAATATTTTAAAAATAAACGCGTGATTTAATGGAATACATGTTCTTTATTGATTATTAATGTAAAAATATTTTACACTATTAATAGATATTTGTTTTTCTTTTCTTTTATTATATTTTTATAATGTTAAAATTAATAATAAATTAATTTATAATTTAGATATTTAAAAATCAATTCAAATTATACTACATAAAATTAAATTGCATCAAATCCATTTTTTTAATTAATCATTCAAAATCACATATAATTTCAATTTTGAATGCCTAAATCTACGCCACAAACACCTCTATCATACAAGTGAGACTCTTATATTCACTTCTAATAGTGAGAGATACCTTATAAATCTTATATTGGATAAAATAAAACTTAATATAACTTTAAAGGAGAACCTTGTTTACTGTAGAAATCCATTTCACAAAAAAAATGTTAATAATGAAATATAAATTCTAAAAGAAGTTTCAATAACTCTTTTGAATAAAAATAAATGATTAAATATAATTATATTAATAAAAAATTAATATGTGTCAAACATGGAACGAATCTTCTTATATAAAGTGTAGATATTATCTATTACTTGTATACTATACAAGAATAAAATATAGCAAAGAAATCTCAAAGTGTGGTACTGGTGGTGACGTAATAGAACAGGTAACCCTTTTTTTTATAAAAAGTGACAACCCTAATACATAAACATAAGAGGCATGGTGGCCCCTTTAGGCCCCCCACACTAATCTTAGTCCCTACCATTTTCCACCATTTGCAATTCTCTGAACTGTAATTAAATTGGTATGATGATCTTTGGAAGTGACATTGGATCTCGTGGATGTTCTATGGTCCTCATAGCCAAAATTTGAAAAGCTTCTTCATGACTTCTCTTCTTTGTCCCTTTCTTATTAGCTATGTACCACTAGTGATGGTTGTTAAGCTTATGATTAGGTTAATGATATTATTTCTTGCAGGCCTTGCATTCATCTCAAAGTATAATTAATGATTTTAACCATCATTATATCTTAGTTAATTAGGACATTCACTATATAAGTGTTTATTGTAAATGATTTAGAGAACAAAATATATTTAATCGGTCTTTAATACTCCATTTGTTTTAAAAAGAGTGTCGTTTAAGGTTTTTACACATAGAATAAGAAATGCAATAATGTTGTCATAAGACATTATACTTTTATTAAATTAGCCATATTAATGTGTTGGAAATTGTTCTGGACTGACCCAATAGTTAGAATTGGCTCAATCTTCTTCTACCCTTGGCACGGTCCAATAATGATGCCCGTTACACACACTTGCCCAAGTCAGCAGCTATCTCTCCGTTTTCCCGACACGAGTCGAACAAGCAACCGAGAAACGTTCACAACGCCTCTCTTCCCGTAATCCTCCTCCTCCTCGGAACAACGGCTAGTTACAAACATGACTGCTCATTTTGACTAAGATCTAGAAGTTACCTATTTTTGCAGACCCGCATATCTAGGCCCAGAAATAGGGACCAATGGCCAAGCGTTGAGGGCATTATATAAACCCTCACACATGTGAGGGCTAGATATCCAATATTCAAACTTTAAACTCTAATATTTTACTTGTATCTCTTTGCACCCATTCTTACTTGATCGTCAGAGTGCCATACAGGTACAACTCTCCTTTCTCCTCAACTTTCCAGCAAAACAGACGTCATCCTTCGACTCATTTGCAGGTTCTGATCAAGTGGTGAGATCGGTGGCGCCGTTTGTGGGAATCCATCTTCCCTGTCTTCTTTTCCTGTAAACTGAAGACCAAAGATACATTCAATCCTTCAACCATGGCCGACCATGATGATCGTCATCTCTCTGGAAAGATTATACTCTCTCCCGTCAACAAAACCAACGGAAGCCAAGAGCATCCTCACCTCGAGGATGACTTTTACGTCAGGGATGGACATACTACGTCCCTAGATTCAGTCGACATTGAGCACGACAACCTTCAGTTCTTGGACATGCAGCGGCCCAAGAACCCTACCGAGGAACTGCCAGAGATCCTTCAACCAGTTCCTATTCCTCAGAGTACCGATCCGGCCATGGCACCATTTCTTGCTGCCCTCAACTAGACCGATGCCCTTCTCCTATAACAAATCAAGAGGATAGGGGCCTGTGAGAAGAAGCAGTCAAAGTCTCCTCCTCGTAGACACCGACAATACGACTCCCCCAGCATATCCCCACCTAGGCGTGGTCGTCCAAACAGAAGGGAGAAATATGATGTTTCTTTCCTCAAGAAACACGACCGCGCACCTTCCAAGAAAGATCAAGGATCTCTATCTTCCAAGAGGACAAAGAGCGATCGCCGACTTGACCGTGACTGATCACCGTCGCCCAAGCCATGGCAGCAGCAAAGAAGTGTATCCCCCCGCTAGGACAACGACACCCGACGGGGAAGGAACCATCATTCCCCACCATCTCCTGAGGGAAGCGAAGACGACGAGCCACGAGGCATGTTATCAAGAGAGATTACAGAGACCCAGCTCCCAGTCGGCCTGGAGAAGCCACCCCCGTTGGGAACATATGATAGTACAACTGATTCCGATGAACACATAGAAAATATCGTCGCCCTTCTCTAGTACCGAGGATTTAATGGCGCTATCAAGTGCAGGTTGTTCCCGACTACCCTGAGGAAAGGTGCCATGTCTTGGTACTAAAGTCTTCCCGCCGAATATATCACCTCCTGGAAGCAGTTGGGGAAGATGTTCTCGAGGCATTTCACAACGTGTTGTTGACATCCTAAGTCAGAATCATCACTAGAAGCAATCATTCAAGGGAGGGACGATTCTCTATGGGATTACATCGAGCGCTTCAACAAGGAAGTTGTGCAGGTCTCTACAACCGACAACATGAAAAAATATCTCCTCGAACTTGGGCTCCATCCCCGCAGTGACTTCGCCAAAGCTGTTGGCATTGAGACTCCGGCCACGCTTGAACAATGCATGAGACTCACGACATAGGGAGAATTCCAAGGTCTCGAAGAATGATGAGCCCTCGACATCCCGTCGGGGGGGGGGGGGGGGGAGAAGAAAATGGAGGATAAGTCCCGAGACTCCAAAGACTACTGGGGGTCCAGTTGGTCGCTTTCACAATTACACCCCCTCAACGCCTCTCACGAGCATATTCTGACAGAATGCACCAATTCAGAATTAAAGCAAGTCGAG